GGGGGGGGGGGGGAGCCTCGACTTATTATTTCACCAAGGGATTTGGCTGCCTCTGTAATGTCTTTGCTCTTACCAGGGACACTCTAGTGAGGATAATCTGCCCGGGTAACGGGAGAAGTGAGGTTGCCAATATCTTCTGTATCCCCCTGTGCCTTTAACAAGGGCCTGGTCTCCTGGTAGAAGCTGAGGCCTTTGCTCAGCTTTGTGCCACAGAAATGCAAAAGTAGCTGCTTGTAAGCTGTGTCTGGGCCTGGTGAGGTTGCCAATATCTTCTGTATCCCCCGTGCCTTGAACAAGGTCTCCTGGTAGAAGCTGGGGCCTTTGCTCAGCTTTGTGTCACAGAAATCTGCTGGTTTCAGAGGACAGAATCATTGTTACGGGTACAGGAAATTGAAGGTACAACGTTGGTAATACAGGAAGTCGCCCAGCCAAGAAACCAGGATGTACCCACAGGTACTCACTAAACTATTTCTGATGAGTGGGAGTTTGAGGCCTAGTTTCCCAGATTCCCTGCTTCGGTATTCAGCCAATCTTACTGGCGTTTTAACACCATTTTATGCTGCATGTTTCTGCCCGGCAAGCCAAATGACAGATGGCGGCTTTAAGAAAAATGTTTGGATTGAAAATAGAAAACTTTCAAACCATTTCAGATAGGCTTTTCATTAAAGGCAGCATTTAGTTTGAAGGCACGTCTCGAAACAGGATTATGGCCCCTGCCTCCTGGAGCCATCCCGTGTAGCAGATGCTGCACAGCTTATTTTTCTCTCTTGCAAAAGTAGTTGCTTGTAAGCTGTGTCTGGGCCTCAATAACTAAAAAAAATGTCCTAACCTAACCTGGATGGTGGCTTTCCAGCCCGAGAAAGCTCTGTGAGGTGTGTGCCGTGTCTAATATCCTGAAAAGGTGAGAGGAGAGGCGCAAATGAACTTGGGGGCATGGGGGTTGTGAAAAACAGTGTATAGTGGGAGCCCCCTATTCTAGAGGTATTAATTCCAAGCCCCCCTGTGGATGCTGAAAACCATGGATAATAATGAACGTGGTAAAAGAAATCCAGAAAAAAGTATTTTCACCATGTATTACCAGAGACCAGTACAGTAAGACTACACAACGTGGTCTTTGGCTCTCTCTAGTGGTCAGTTCTGGTAAATTCATTGTGAAAATGCTTGTTTCTAGTTTTTTTTTCTTTTAATATTTTTAATATTTTGGACCGTGGGTGAGCGAAACTGGATACTTATCCCGTGGATATGGGAGTCCTACTGTACTATTAGCAGTGGGGAATTGTTAGCGGCACTGAAAGGAAACTCAGCATGCCTGTATCTTTGCTGTCCCCATCTTCCTAAAATATGCTCAATAGGCAGCTTTCCAGCAGGTAGACTTACTGTGCTCTTCGATGTGAGCCTTCTTCAGTGTCTTAAAATGACACATATAAATAAAATAAGAAGAAGGAAGTGAGTGGCCAGGATGGAGGCAGAGCAGGAGAGTCGCTCTGCGTGCGGGATATCCGTGGATGTTTGCAGCCTTGCTGATTGGTTGCTTGAATTTAACACCTTGCTTCATCACAGTGGCTGGTCCCCTCCCAGAGAGGAGAGGCGAGGGCCGCGTCCGTCTTGCCGTCCGTTCGATGAGCTGGACAGCAGTCTCCCAGAACCCCTCAGGCAGCCTGGCTGAGGATGGTGGGAATGATCGCGCAATCTGTTTGGGGCGTGCCAGATTTGGGAAGGCTGGCGTTTCAGTTTGGGATCCAGACCACCTCCCCCGTGGCCAAGGGAGTTTGGATATTAAGGTCGCTGAGGTGCCGTCCGACACTCCAGGAGGGAGGAAAAGAGAAGGGGACAGGAACTGGACCAGGACCGGCGGCCGTCTCAGACCGCTCTGCCAGAGGCAGCCAGAAAAGTCTGTTTAGTCTTTATGGGGGCATCGGCCCTGGAGGGTCCCTGTCCCGTCCTCCTCTCGTACCAGGCCCACATTCTTGTCCATTCGCGTTGCCGAAGAAACATCTTCTTGGAAGGCGGGCAAGCTGCCACATCAAAGAGATTGAAAAAGCATTAAGAGGAACCGGGCGGGGATGCGGTCCCTTGCGCCCTGCAAGGGGCAACTCTCTTATGAAAAAAATCAGTGTGCACGGCACCTGCTTTGTTTGAATGTCGTGGAAAAGGATCTGTTGATTTTAAGAGTTGACTTAAAGCAGTTCAGGGGAGAAAGGAAGGCAATTTGTGTTCAGAAGCAGTATTCAGGCGCGTGTCCGGGCCCGGGAACTCCCCATCCTTTTTTTACACCTCCTCCTCTAAATGATTTCTTTGCCGCTCTGACCTTGCTTGGCTGAAGCTGCTCCTTGTTGCTCTCCTTTTAAGTGGAGATGAGACCATTGTGTTGTGGTAAAAGCAGAGATCCTGTGTCCTTGACGTTTTTTTGCTTCCAAGCTGGCCCTCCAGAGATGAGGCCGGTCCCTCTAGATTGTGGCAGACCCAGGTGGGTGGGGATCTAAGCAACATCAGACAGCATTCTTCAGTGTTGGCTGGTTGTTGCTTAGGAGGAGGCTGTGTTGCGTTGCTTTAGAGGCACCGAAAATGGCAGCCCCATGGAGGATTTTCGCATAAGGTGAGTTTTTAAGTCCATAGGAATGCATTAAACACGTTTTAATGCGTTCCTGTGGGCTTTTTTGTTCCGCATAGTGACGAATCCGTATAGCGACGATTTTTTTGGAACGGATTATCGTCGCTATGCGGGGCACCACTGTACATGTATGGTAAAATTTGCCCTACACTCCTGTCTTCCTCTGGGCCCAAGAGTATATTAGTTCCCAGCTTTGTTTTACATAGTCTCTTGGTTGTTCCCGTAGTGCTTCTGATAGAGTGTCCAGTTCTGCTCTGTCCCATAACTTCTTTAATAGCTCTTCTATCGTTGGAACCTCTTTGGTTTTCCATTTTTGGGCCCAAAGTAGTCTGGCTGCTGTAAGTATATACATCAGACAATGCTTCAATTTTTTAATCATTAATTCCTGGTATGACATTCAATAATGCCATTTCAGGTTTTATATCTAATTTCTGCTGGGTAATTTCTTTTACTAAGCGTCACACCTGTGTCCAATAATTTTTGACTTTTTCGCATGTCTACCACATATGATAATAAGTTCCTGCATTTTTTTTATACTTCCAACATATATTGCTGTTACCCTCTGACATTTTTGCTAGTCTTGGTGTGTAATGCCATCTGTAAAACATTTTGAGGATATTTTCTCTGAGATTTGCTGGTTTAATCATCTTATAGCTTTCTTTCCGCATCTTAGTCCAATCATCAAGACCTATGTTCTATCCAAAAAAATTTGCCCATTTTACCATTGTCTCTTTCACTCTCTCATCCTCTAAATCATATTCTAATAAGTATGTGTACATTTTTTAAATTATTCTTTCATCAGTATATATCCACAGTCTATCCACCGGTACTTTGCCCTCAAAGAAACCCACAGACCTATCTTTTTTATATCTTGATTCTAATTTCACCATTGACCACCAGTCAACAGCTACACCCAGTTTTTCAAGCTCTTGTTTGCCCTTTATCTTCTGCTCTTTAGTTAAGAGATTTTCATATGTGGTCAACATTCCTTTCTGGTTCAGGACTTTTAGTGTGAATGCTTCTATAGTAAAGAACGGGTGCCTCTCTTTAAGAGCAGGTCCCGCGAATCAGTGCTTGGTTTGAATGAGTGCATGTGACCTCTCGTATCAGGGGTTTCATTGTTCCCAGGGTGGCTGGGTCTTTTGTAAGAGAGGTTAACCCTCCCAAACTGGTCAAAGTTTAGTCAGATAGGTGTCTGGAGGATGATTTCCACTGAATGCACATGACACACAAGGAAGAACAAGGGAGGGAGAACGCTAAGCCAGTTCAGAGTAAGGGAATTCTCCTCCTTATCATACATGCAGGGTTGCCCTGGTGGAGACTGTTTTATTAGAAGGTGAAATGCCCGCTGTTCTGCCAGGCGATGAGGCGGTCCCTGATGCCTTTGGCATTTTACCGCTTCCAGGTAGATTAGCTTCCCGTTTTCTCCAGGTTGAATAGACAGGCCTGTTGTTTCAGAGATAATCTTTTCCTCTGCCGTTTACACATAACTGTACACGGTTGCCTCCAGTAACTAGAATTCTTCCTATCCACACCTACTAGTTCTCGTAGAAGTCAGGAAGCTGCGTCCTGGTCTTGACATTCCCTAACTTCAAAACTGAGCCGTAATCTTCCCAAACAGAAAGGGGTCTCCCGTGTAGATGGTTCTGAGCGTTGGGTGGGCTTATCAATAAATAAGGGTCATCGTGGAGCGTCGTAGAAAAGCGAAGCGTAGCGGTTTGAAAATCTTTCCTTTGTTTGTAAAATGATTATCATGCAATGCCTTTATTTGCTCCTGTGATTCACCTGCTAATCTTCTGCATTCATTTCTTCTTGATCTGTAGAAACCAGGAAGGGTTTTGAGTGGGGGGGGGGTTAAGAACTTGAGCGTTCTGTTCCCAATTTATTTATTTATGAGCATTTTTAAAAAATTTCATCCTTCCTTGAAGGAGCGAGATGGTCCTCCCCATGTCCTCACAACAGTCCGCTAAAATCGCTTAGCCTGAGAGAAGATGATGATTCGAGGCTCACATTACTCCTTCCCTTTGCTGCCTCGTGCGTCAGAGCAGAATGCAGGTTAAATATAGCTGACAACGGCGATAATTTTAGTGTAGATCAGAGTGGATAAAAAAACACGGATTATTTAAAAATCACAATTTAAATCAAAGAATCATTTTTAAAATTTAAGTCATTTCCCCCCTCCAAAATATGTTACTTGATTTCCAGTTTTGGTTTTTTGTTGTTATCATCCCATCCTGATTATATTATTGTTGTAGGTTTTAATTGTTTTTAAATCCGTTTTGTGCACAATATATCGTGAGCCGCCCTGAGGAGACTCCTGTCTAGAAAGGCGGGATAAAAATCTAATAATAAATACATGAAATAAATCATTTAAATCAATTTCATTTAAATCAAATCCAACCTGGTGTGCTTCAGACTTGTTTTCCTCTCTGGAGTCAAGCCATGCATGCTCTTCTCAACTGTTATAAATCAAATACAGTATAGAGTGGCCTTTTAGGCCAGATGGGTGGGGTATAAATCGAATAAATAAATAAATAGTAAAGAAGTGCTTGGCTTGAGAAATGGGGCTCGGGGTATAAATCAAATAAATAAATAGTAAAGATAAGTGCTTGGCTAGTAAAGATAAGTGCTTGGCTTGAGAAATGGGGCCGGAGCCCGTCCCTGGGCTACAACAGCAACGTTCGCTTTAGTCTCAGTTGCGGATATCCACTTTATTTAACTTGCAGCCGTATTTCATTTGTGGGCTGTGGGATGCCAGGAAGGGTGTGGGGCGGACCCCGCACAACCTACCTTTTCCTGAAATCGTAGATGAGTATTTCAGAAAGAGGGAGCAGGAGAGTCACGCGTTGCTGGTCCCGGGCAGTGAGTGTATCCTCAGGTTCTACCCAGTCATTTTCATTTTTTTAAAAAAGTGCAGCTTTTTGAGCCTTTGGGCTCAGCCTGTCGAGATTTAAAGAAGAAATCATTTCTTCAATTTTTCCTCTGCAGCGGTGCTGACCGAGGTGGCTTCAAAAATTTTGGTGGTAAGTCCTGAGCATCGGGGGAAGGAAAAAAATAAAAGACCCCAAACCAAACCCCAGAACATTTCAATGGAAAATCTTATCTTAAAAAGCCAAGATCCAATCTTTAAAAGCCACCAAACACCATGTTTACTCTTCTTTTGCAAACATTTTATAGTGTTTTCTTTTTCCTCTTTGGTCTGGGGCTGGTGTCGGTGTGTACTTTAAAAAAAACAACTGCAGCAACAATTTTTTTAAAAAGCGTTTGTCATGACCTGAAAAAGGGTTTTCTGCTTTTTTAAAAGTTGCTTTTTTGTTTGTTTGTTTGTTTGTTTGTTTGTCAAGTTGCATGAACAAATTTTCTGGCGCCCGCAGAGCATCTCCTAAACATGGTCTTGCCAGTCACAAAATGACGGTGGCAGATAAGTTGATCACACCGCCAGCCAGCACCCGCCAGCCTTCAACGGTGTGACAAAGGCCACGACCTGCCATTTTATAAGCCACGACCAGTATTTCGATCTCGATGTCCCCCCCTCCTGTCCTACTGAATCGTGTAGATCTTGGTCTCCGTTCTCCGTGTTGTGCCATCTTTTTGTTTTATTTAAAATTAATTGAAATAGGTTTAGGCAGTTCTTTGCCCGTACTAGCGTGGCTAAAATACCCACCCTTTCTTCTTTTCTCTCACCCCCACCCCACAGGTCAGAGGGATTATGGGCAGAAACCAGACACAGGTAAGGACAGGAGGTGTGAAAAACCTAGTGGCTTCGCAACCTGTTTGCGCCTTCCGCGGATGACAGGGTGTTAGAGTTGGGATGCACGGTTAGGGTTTTGGGGGGGACGTGGGTGGCAATGTGGGTTAAACCTCTGAGACACTGGGCTGTCGATTGAAAAGTCACCTGTTCGAATTTGCATGACGGGGTGAGCTCCCATCGCTTGTCCCAGCTCCTGCCCACCTAGCAGTTCAAAAGCATGCAAAAATGCGAGCAGATAAATAGGGACCACCACGGTGGGAAGGTAATGGTGTTCCGTGTTTAGTCGTGCTGGCCGCATGACCACAGAAACTGTCCATGGACAAAATGCTGGCTCTTTGGCTTACAAACAGGGATGAGTCCCGGCTCCTAGAGTCGGACACGACTGGGCTTCATTGCCAAGGGAAATCTTTACCTGTCCCTTTCGGGTTTTAATTTCACCGCTTTTGCTTTCTTCCTTGAAACAATTGGACTTTGAAAAGAGGGAGACCCCGCTCAGATCCAGCCAGCTTCTCCCCGGCCATTTGCTCTTAATTTTTGTGACTGAATGGTCACAGTGAGTCTTGAGATTTTGGTCGACGGTAGAACCCGAGCCTTGCTTCCTGAAGGACAAGATGCCTGTGCCTGCGAGCAGGGTGCAAAGGAGTCAGTGGACCTCCCTGAAATTTTGGGGAGCCTCCCGTCAGGCAGCGCACGTCTGCAGGGGAGGAAGCACGGCCTTCCGAGACAAGGCTGGCCTGCGGTTCCCAAGCTCCCACTTGTGAGAAGGCAACTTGAGTTAAGCCCTTGAGTCCATCACCCATCCCTTCCATCAAGGGTCCTTCAAAGCTTACAACGGAGGGGAGGGAAAGAGTCTTCCCTTTGTCTGCAGTGTTTCTTTTGTCCATGAACGCAGGAAGCAAATGGGTGGCTTTTTCATCCCAGGGCGAAGGGTCGTCCCATCTCACTGGACGTGGTCTAGACAAGATCGGGGAAACCTCCAGATGGACGTGACTCTCCAGATGATGGAGAGTGACAGCTGCCTGTTTTCCACCACTGCCTCTGCCAGTCGGGGAAGAGTTTTAGGCACTTGTCTGTTTCCGGGACCCGTTTATTTATTTATTTATTGGACTTATATACTGCCCCTTAGTGCTACAAGCACTCTCCGTGCGGTTTACAATATAATTATTCAAGCTACCCATTGCCCCCCCCCCCCAGCAAGCTGGGTACTCATTTTACCGACCTCGGAAGGATAGAAGGCTGAGTCAACCTTGAGCTGGCTACCTGGGATTTGAACCCCAGGTTGTGAGCACAGTTTTAGCTGCAGTACAGCATTTTAACCACTGCGCCACGAGGCTCTTATGTTCTCAGTGTTAGATCGCAACCGATAAAGCCGTGCATGGTTTTGAGTCCACCCCATCGGAAAGACCACCTCGTCCCCATGTGGGCCTTCCTAGTTTGGTCAGATTTTCAGAGGAGGATCTTCTCTTGCTCACGCCACCCTCACAGGCATGTTATTGATTAGAGCCAGAGGCCCTTTTCCGTGACTGCCATTTTTTTTGGCAGGCTCCTAAGAATTCGATGGGGAAAGACGGAGCCCCCTTTCGAATGCCGGCACGTGTACCTTGCCAAGGTCTTTAATGTTTCGGATTTTAAGTATGACGATGCCTTTGATGGTTTGGTGAGCCTGCCATGTGTTTGTGCTCCCCTGCGGGATGCCTCGGTTCCCCCACCAGCCAGCAAAAAGACAACGTAGAAATGAATAAAGAGGGACGTGGTGGCCACAGAGAGAAGTGGTAACCACTTGGGCAGAGGCCTTGGACAGAGGCTTCTCAAAGGCCATCTTTGCTCAAGGAAACTTCCTTTGGGTGTCGATCTGTGTCTGGATTTCAGATGCATGGGGGGGCTAAAGGGGAGGCGGCCGTTGCCTTCAGATCTCTCTGGAAGCCCTTATCCTGGTTGCTGAATGGGATGAGTCCTGGATGGGTCTTCATTTTTCCTTTTCCTTGCTCTTATCTCCCAGACTATTTTCCCAGGCCCTTCTCCAGTCCCCCCCCCAGCTGGAAGAGCCCCACTAGTGTCCAAATGAACGGTGAAATTCTGGACCCGCTAGTCCGGAAAGGTAATGTGAGCACCTGGCTCCCGTACCTGCCCGATTTTTGAAGTGCCTGCTTCCCTCTGTGGTGCTGTTTGAAAAAACAGTGCTGAAACAGGCATGAGTTGGGCACCCTTCGCTTGAGATCTGCTTGGGAAAAGCAAAAAGACCAAATAGGTGCAAACAGCAACTCCCTTTCCTTCTGAAGAAAAAAATAAATAGATTCGTTTGAAAAGTGGTGCCGGAGGAGAGCTTTGAAGAAGAGAGAGACAGATAAATGGGTCCTGGATCAAATCGACTATCTCTGGCAGTAAAAATGTTGAAACTGTGGCTGTCCTACTTTGGGCATTTCTGGGTATTCCCCCTTGCATTTTCACAGGAAAAGAGGAAGCCCCAATACGAGATACATAGGAAGGCACAGCGTGGGTTTGCAAGAGCTGAGTGGGGCCGTCGAGGATGGAAGAGATTACTCACTCAGAGGGTCCCCATCCGTTGCTGGCAACGTGATGGCACATAACCACTAAGGTCTTCAGTGGGAAACACACACTCATCGGAGTTTTTACAGTTGAAAACTGAAGCAGAACTTAACAAAACTGGTAAAATTGGGCCATGCATTAAATGAAAAGCTGTGGTTGGATGGATGGATGTGTTAACCGTATTGAGTACAGTAGGATCACCATATGGGTAGGAGATCATTTCTCTCTCTCTCTCTGTCTCTCTCTCTCTCTCTCTCTGTCTCTCACTCACTCACTCTCTCACTCTCTCTCTCACTCTCCCACACACACACACACACACACACACACACACACACACACACACACACACACACACACACACACACACACACACACACACCCTCTCTCTCAGCAGACACTGAAAAACGCAGAAGTAGCAAACGATACTCTCTAGTGGCCAGTTCTGGTAAATACGCCCTGGAAAAAACGTACGAATAGGTATTTCTGGGTATTTCCCCCCCTGCATTTTCAGCCAGTGGATGAGTGAATCAGCGGATACTGATCTCCTGTATTGCCAGTTACATCTGAAATGGACAGGGAACAGATGTGGTCCCATAGGTGAACCCAGTGATCCAAGCTGCGCACCTCTTCAGCCACCCTTTTCCTGACATCATCAGCTCCCTCCCCATGTGCATTTCTATTTTTGACAGGCAGAAAGAGGCATGGCGTTCTGTGCATTTCTCTGCAGAGTCACCTCCCCTTCCGATGTGCCCGTTGATCGCCACTTAGACACCAAGGAACACGTACAAACCCGATGACCTTCACACCAACCAAAGCCAAACCCATTGTCACCATGGGAGAAACCCCATCACCTTTTTTTTTTTTTGCCCAAAAACCCGTCTGAGCTGCAGCCTGACGAGATGGGATTTTAAGGTTCTTACCAACACAATCCTTGCTTTTCGGCAGACTTTGCCCAGAAGGGTGGTTGCCAAAGCACCGAGAAGAGCAAATATTCTGATCTCTTTAGAAACGGCCGCCTTCTTCCCTTTTGCACAAGGCTCAGCGAAGGCGCTGGGTGGCATTTGGAGTTTGACAAATAACTCGCGTCTCTCTTTGCTCTAGATTCAGAGTCTGACAACTCGGATAACAACACCATCTTCGTCCAAGGGCTCGGGGAAGAGGTATCACCGGATCAAGTGGCCGACTTCTTTAAGCAAATAGGTGTCATAAAGGTGTGTGTCTTGGTAACAGTTTTCTTTTTTTTAAAAAGGGTATCCAGTGCAGATGGGGTGAAGGAGAACCTGTTAATTTGGGGGCACTGATGTGCGGTGACAGAGAATTAACTCTTACCATGTAACACGTCAATCCCTTCATCAGTTGGAAATATTACTAAGGTAATGCCCAAATGGGGTTTTGCCTGCCTGCCTACCTACCTACCTACCTGAGAATTGCACAATTTAAAATTAAAATTACAGTGGTGCCTCGCTTTATGATTGCCTTGCATTACGAGGAAACCACTTAACGACGATCTTTTTGCGATCGCAAACCGATGGTCTGAATGGGGGAATTTTGCTTTGCGATGATCGGTTCCCTGCTTCGGGAACCGATTCTTCGCAAAACGACATTTTTTGAACAGCTGATCGGCGGTTTCAAAATGGCCACCGGATGATTAAAATGGCTCCCCGCTGTGTTTAGGGATGGTTTCCTCGCTATACAGGCAGTGAAAATGGCCGCCGTATGAAGGATCTTTGCTGGACAATGAGTTTTTACCCCATTGGAACACATTGAACGGGTTTCAATGCGCTTCAATGGGGTTTTTATTTTCGCTTTATGATGTTTTCGCTTAACGGCGATTTTCCTGGAACAGATTATCGTTGTTAAGCGAGGCACCACTGTATAGACATTGACGAAATATTGGTAAGATGAAAAAACCAATTACAACTGTTTTTGACCGGAAGCAGGCTGCTTCAATAGCATTCTCAGCCATTTGCTAGGTCTTCTTTTGTCCACGCGGTGGGGCATAAATGGCATACACGTCAGTGCTGCCTGGATTGAATTTCTCCACAGTCACAGAAAATATGTCCTGTATCCAAGGAGCCCTCTTTTGCTTGTGGTTTATTTAGACCCTGCTGTCAGCCTGCAGGGCATTCCACAGACCCCCCAGAGGGCAGGTTCCTTCCCAAAGGGTTCCAGATCTAAAGTGAGACATGGGAGAAGCCACGGAGGAGACAGACCCAAAGACACGAGAAGAGAGGGGAGCCATGGGTTTGAGTAGGGCGTGGGAATGGAAGAGTCGGGCCAGTGGTTTGATGGGAAGTTTTGAGAAGCCATTTTGGGGGCGGGCAATTCCAAGCAAGCGCAGAGGAGCAAAAGTCCCGCGACCTTCCTGGCTGCCTTTGGTGAGGATGCAGGGCAGGGCCTTCTCTGCAGCTGCTCCCAGAGACTCTGGAACTCCCTGCCACGGGAGGCCAGGCTGGCCCCATCTTGGCTGCCCTTCCGCAAGCAGTTAAAAGATTGATGGGCTATACGAGTGTGATTTTTAGATGGATTATTATGCCTTGGTGCTCTGTCTGGGTCTTTCATATGACTTCTGTTTACCATCTCTCAAGAGCGGTACTTGCTTGTTCCTTTTTAATATGTGTATACTTGTTGTTTTAGCGTTAATACTGTCTTTTAATGATGTAAGCTGCCTGTTGTATACTCATTGTTTCCAACTTTAAATGCTGTCTTTCCGTGACATAAGCTGCCTTACGTCCTCCTTTTTTTAAGGAGAAAGGCAGGGTAAAAATACTTTAAATAAATAAAGGAGAATGGCCGGAGTTTTCCAAGGTAGCAGAAGACCCTCAGACCGTGGTGAATAGTGTTGCTTGTGTGGGATTCCACGCTTGCCGCGCTGCAGAGTTGCTAGGGTAGCTTGAGGATGACGCGACCGGGCCTTTCTTCTATCTCTCCCCAGACGAATAAAAAGACAGGCAAACTTATGATCAACCTTTACACAGACAAAGATACCGGCAAGCCGAAGGGTGAAGCGACAGTGTCCTTCGATGACCCCCCGTCGGCCAAGGCGGCCATTGACTGGTTTGACGGTAAGATGGGGCCCTCTTTCCCCAGCTGGCACGCGCCGCCTCCTTTCTTGGATCGGTGCCGGCTGGATCACACGCCCTCCTCTCTGGTTCCCCAGCCCAGGCACGCTGACTGTTTTCCGCTCATACCCGACCACGTCACAGTTTCTTTTCTTAAGTGTTTTTGTCTCTTCCGTTCTGCGCTGGAAGCCAAAGGATTCTCCTCCTTCTTCTGCAGGAAAAGAATTTAACGGCAACGTCATCCGGGTTTCGTTTGCAACTCGAAGGCCAGAATTCATGCGAGGAGGCGGCACCGGGGGCGGTGGACGCCGAGGTAGTAACAAATCCAGGTCCTTCCACCACTTCGCTGGCTTGTCTGAGACCAGTGTCCACTGTTTGTCTGAGAATAATAATAATAATAATCACGTGGTGTGGAGTCAATTCTGACGTAGGGTGACCCTTTTCCTGGTTTTCTAGGTGAAAGAGGCTCAGAAGCAGCTTCCCCTTCCCTTCTTCTGGGGGTAGCCCTGGGACTGGGCCACTGGCCCGAGGCCACCCAGGCTGGTTCTTCTCCCAGGAGGCGCAGTGGGGATTCGAACTCCCCACCTCGGGCTCCTTAGCCAGATTGCTTACTCACTCACGGAGCTATCCAGCCCGTTGTTCTGACTTAAGGTGACCGTTTTTCAGGGTTTTCTTGGTGGTTCCGTGCCTTAAGATGCGAGTCCTCATGATGCCCCATCACTATCAAGGTTCTCCTCTTTGACTCTGTCCTTGTTTGCCACACAGGTTCGCGAGGAGGAGGGGGCTTTGGAAGAGGCGGAGGCTTCCAGGGACGAGGCAGCGAACCGAAAAGTGGCGACTGGGTTTGCCCGAACCCGTAAGTCTTTCTCTTTGAGGCCTCTTTGGGGGGTGGATCCTTTCGAGGAGGGCGAGCCGGGCTTTGAAAGGAGACGAGAAGTTTTGTTATAAAATCTGATAAAATCTGCAAACCTTTTAAAGCGCCACAGGACACACGGTTGAGTTTGGGGCAGGCAGAAAAGGGTATGAACCCACTTTACATGGAGCAGGGCCACGGGTCTGTTGAGCCTAGTTCTGTTTACTCCAAGTAGGAAGAACCCCCATAGGCATTGCGGGAATGGACTGGTGCCAGTGGTCCTCTTAACTGGAAGTGGGCCTTTTGACCCCTGAGTTGCCTCCTTCAGCGCAAGTTCCTTCCCTCAGGCCTGGGCATCTGGACCAGAGGTGAGGAACCTTTGGCCCCATCGGATGCCCAGTTCTCCTCCATGCCTCTGTCACTTGCACTTGCTTTCCTGGGAGGCAAGGAGCTCAGAATTGGGCCAAAGTCAATCTCTGGGTAAAGAAATGCCAGGCTCTCCAGAAACCTGTCTTCGTTATGCTTTACTCTCGTCTTGCCATCTGGGGTCATCCGTCCCTCTTTCTCTCTGCGTGCTTTACTGAGAGAGCTCTTTTTGCTCATTTTCAGGAGCTGTGGGAACATGAATTTTGCCCGCCGGAATTCTTGCAATCAGTGTAACGAACCTCGGCCGGAAGATTTGCGTCCGCCAGGAGGAGGAGGAGGAGGAGGTGGGTGGAAGAACCCGCCGGGCGGCGAAAGGTGGCCAACCGGAGGAAAAAAGGCCCTCCCGCTTATCATCTTGTGTTTCTCCTTCACAGACTTCCGTGGCCGAGGAGGCTTTGGAGGCGACCGGGGGTTCCGTGGCCGTGGTGGCCGAGGCGGCGGCGGCGGTTTTGGTGGCAAAATGGGAGGAAGGTGGGTGCCGGATTTTCAGGTCTCCGGGGTTTGCGTGTGCTGCCATGAGATCAGAGCCTTCCCTTCCCAGAGGATGGGGTAGCTGTGCCACGGGAACAGAAAGAGCGTGGCCAACAATCCACGGTCAGCAGAAGATGCCTTGTGCTTCCCTGCGTGACCTCCTGGCCTTCAGTAGCTGGTTTATCAACTCAAGAGGCACCCTGAGACTGAGGCCGAAACCAAGGAGAGGAGCTTGTTCAGAAATAAGGAGATCAGTAACTACCTTTCTCTACTGCGGCCAGGATTTTTATCTTATTTTATTTTTAAGCCAAAGGTGGTATGAATTGCATTCAAGTGAGATGTCCAGGTCCCTTTTCAGGCCCAAGAGTCACTTGAACCACTCAGATTTAGCGGCTGCGGTGTTGAGGAAAGAAGGACAGGTGTGTTAGGACGTGTTCTTCTTGAACAGATGTTTGGAGAGGTTAAGTTCACAAGAGGACAACGGGGATGATCAGGGGACTAGAAAGGAAGCCCCGGGAGGAAAGGCGGAAAGAACTGGGCATGTTTAAGTCTCGAGAAAAGAAGATTGAAAGGGTGATAGGAGAGCCCTTCTCAAAGACTTGAAAGGATTGTCCTACAGAGGAGGGGGCACGATCTGTCCTCCATCATCCCACAGCGCAGGACACGTCATGAGGGGCTTCCGTTATAAGAAGCTGTAAAGCCAGAGAAAGGATCGTGAGTTCGGAAAAAGGATAGATATTATTGGGTGGTAGATCTTGACAAACTGACTTTGGGGCCTGCATCCCACCACGATGGCCAGAATTCCAAGGGAGGATTCTGGCCAGGGGGCACGATCTGTCCTCCATCATCCCACAGCGCAGGACACGTCATGAGGGGCTTCCGTTATAAGAAGCTGTAAAGCCAGAGAAAGGATCGTGAGTTCGGAAAAAGGATAGATATTATTGGGTGGTAGATCTTGACAAACTGACTTTGGGGCCTGCATCCCACTACGATGGCCAGAATTCCAAGGGAGTATTCTGGCCAGTTATTTTTCCAGGCATTGGAGGGGGGGGGGCCTGCAGGCACGCGGAAGCTCTCCCGACACCCACCGCCACCACCTCTGGGAGGCCTCTGTCCATGCTTTTCCACCCAGTCTTCTCTGTATTGCTGGCTGTTACTGTTCCGTGAGAACCTAAATCTAATAAATGCATTGGGTTTTTTCTCCACTGTCTCTCTCTCTTACAGGAACGACTTTAGAAATGATCAACGCAGCCGACCCTACTGAAAACAGCTGTGAATGTCCCCTTCCTCTTCCTCACGGCTTTGGCCAGCCAACTTTGCTGAGTTTCGCCTGCTGCTTTATACCCCCATGGCCTCTTTTGGATAATGGAATTAAGTGTAAAACTGGATTCTTAATTTGGGAAGGGGGAGAGGGCGGGTTTCAGGGTGGTTTTTCCCCCTTTTCTTTTCTTTTCTAATTAGCACGTCCATCAAAATTTCATTTCCCCCACCTCCCATCATGCCCCCCTTTTCCACTGTCTGAATTCTAAAGGAAGGAAGGAAATGTAAAATATTTGCCAAAACTCTGACCTGTTTTATAATACAAACAATAAAAGCTGATTGTTTATTTGTGACCTTCTCTCTCCTTTTTCCCCCCACACCCCCTTCGAGAAACGTCCTGTGTTTTTCCTGGTTGATGTCACATGATTTGGCATCACAAAATCTGTTAGCATTCAAGGTGCCTATATTATTTTATTTTTGCTTCTGCTACAGGGCTTTGGAATAAAGTGCTAAAGCAGCTTCAGAATCAGGCTTGTTTTAAAATATATAAAATATTCAGCAGTGAGGCTGCATATATTTGGCAGTCCACCTAAACTGGGCAGACTGGCATTATAGATAGACCCCTGTATCCATGGGAGATTTGTAAAATATTTGCCAAAACTCTGACCTGTTTTATAATACAAACAATAAAAGCTGATTGTTTATTTGTGACCTTCTCTCTCCTTTTTCCCCCCACACCCCCTTCGAGAAACGTCCTGTGTTTTTCCTGGTTGATGTCACATGATTTGGCATCACAAAATCTGTTAGTGTTCAAGGTGCCTATATTATTTTATTTTTGCTTCTGCTACAGGGCTTTGGAATAAAGTGCTAAAGCAGCTTCAGAATCAGGCTTGTTTTAAAATATATAAATATTCAGCAGTGAGGCTGCATATAGTAGGAGGTCCTACTGTTTTTAATTTTTATAAGTTGGCAGTCATGCATTTGGAAAGGAATAGAGAGACCTATATTGAACGACATTTTGTCCGTAGGCGCTCACACTTCTAGTAATATAAAAATTTGGAAACTTGTTCATGTGTGTGTGTGTTAGAGAGGGAGGGGCTAGGTATTTTTGCACAGAACACACTTGTGTAGGTTAATGCAACCCGCAAGGAGGGGTGTTTTGTGTGTTTGCACACCAAAAAGTTAAAAAGGTGCTGTCGGGGCTGACGAAAACAGGGCTGTTTTTTTCCTGCTCTGCTGGAAGAGTGAAACTTCGCATTGCTGTGACAAGAAGCGTCCACCCTGGTTGAAGCGGTTACTTCCTTTTTGACAGGCTTCTAGTCCTCATTGGATATGTCGTAGGCCTCTGAATGGGTTTCTAGATTTCTAGAGACCGGTGTGTGCTTTGGGATGGACTGGAGATTTCGTCCCACCTGGTTCAACGCGTTCCCTAGATCTGAAAACATCTCTACAGGTTTCAGATGGAGCCGCACACTGTGGGCGCCTTTTGTATTTATCCCGTACAAGTGCTATTATTGAACTGAAATCTTGGCCTCCCGAGTCCACGTGAAGAGGGTCCCTAAGGAAAATCTGACCCCCCTGTTTCCTTTCCCGTCGCTTGTTCACATAATCAGTCACATGGCAAAGTCAGGGTTCACAGAGTTGAGGCCCTTGCATCTTGCATAGCAGAACAACAAAATTATCTACCGCCCTTTCCTCCTTCGCTTCCCCTTAATTTAGAGGTGACCCTCGCATGAGCTGGGACAGACCTGGATTTTCTGCAGGATGTTATTGCAAAATCTCTTGCGACCCAGGTGGTTGGGAGGTGGTTTGGTCCAGATGAGCAATTAAGAGTTGTTCGCTTTACCAAAGACCTGCTTTTCTTGACACAGACTAATCCACGAACTTCATCTCCTACATTCTGTTCACCTTAAGACTTTCAAATCATTTTTCACCACAGAAGTGAATCTGCCCATCCGGTTTGGAGCCAGGTCTAGATCCACAGATCGGCCAAAATAGGGTTGTCGGGTCAGCATGCCATATTTGGCCAAGCCAATACCTGGTGATCAGAAATCTGAATTTAGCAGAGCTTTATCGCTTGACATTTATCAAGAACAACAGTAGGTGGCAGACCTGAGCTAAAAATGATAGATGTTCAGCTGAATTTTCTACAATAATGTTTTCACCAGGTTTGAGGCAGCGTACTAAAATATACATTTAATTATACATTTAATATATATTGAAAACTAAATGTGGGGATCATTGTATTTGATGAATTTGGAATGATTCGGGTTGTTGGGCAATGAACAGTATTTTACAGGACAGTTTCACGAAACAGGGAATTGTTTTTCCAAAATTAAAAACCTTCCCTGATTGATCTCTTAACGATGGGCATCTTCTACAATTAATTCATCCAGTATGCTTGAGGAAAAATTTTAATTGTGATTTGATTCCAGCGGAAATGTTTAAAATATTTTCAGGACTGTGAAAATAAACGAAGGACCGCCGGTGACCAAAAGGGGGAAAAATCCTGAATTGATCTCTTTTTTTGCTGCATAAATCTTCGGCCTTAGCCTGAAAAATGGCCACCAGCCATGCAGAAACTGAAAATCCTGAATTGATCTCTTTTTTTGCTGCGTAAACCTTCGGCCTTAGCCGGAAAAATGGCCACCAGCCATACAGAAACTGACCACCCCATAAGAAATTGATAGAACTTGTTGGGGTGGGGGGCGAGATGAACAAAGTTTCCTCTCAGAAGTAACTTGAGCTTTACTCAGAAAATAGGGCGGCTAGCAGATACAGGGTGAGGTCTTTTCGCCAGTATGAAAAGAGGAAGGCGAAATATGAGATGGATCAACTCCCACCATGAAACCACAGCCTTGCGTTTGCAAGACCTGAGCAGGGGACGTTTGAAGAAGGGACATATTTGGAGGGTCAATATAAGGGTTGCTTATCCGTAGGGCCGCGGGCAACTGGTCAGCACGGAACATCTTAGTGCCTAATTAATACGCAGAATTTATTTATTTTGTGCTTAATAGACCGAATTTACTTCATTTGGCCTCTTAGATGGTTTTAAGGGGGATCGGCTGTGGAGGGAGAGACCTATCAGCGGATAGTAAACTGAATGGCTTCACCAAAAGGCAGGTAACCCGATAGGTAGAAGCCCAGCAAAACCTCCCTCTTCAGGAGCCGTAGACCCTGTCAGGTTGCTGGCGGTGCTTGTAATGGCCATCTTTTCCCCAATGAGCTTCCAGAACAAGCATCTCTTCCTGGCTGAGGATGCACGACTGGAGCACCCACTGTATTCAAGAGCATGGGGCCAGTGCGTCTAAGGCTGTTGGGTGTCACAGCTCCAACATCTAGATGACCGACGTGACTAGTCCTCCGACAAGACGAGACTTGATCTCTGTTATCCAAGGCCGTGTTGCAGGCCAGTGGTTGACCACCCGGGCGTTCCCCACCGTGTGCGTGGAAGGAGAAGGGAGCTGCACAAAGATCCTTTGTCTAGACGTGGGATCAGCCGTGCCGTACCTGTAATTTCCAGCAGGCTGGCCTCCCTCCTCAAAGGGAGCACTCCAGGGGCGTTCCCTCGCACCCGGCCCTTCCTTCTGGAGGCAAACCATGTCTGGGATGAATCACAGAGTGTGCCACTTCTTGTGATTCACGGCCCAGATTCACGGCCGCACCTCCTCTTGGGTTCTGATTCTTTTTCGGCAGACTTTAACCTCTTCGACCCCGCAAGGCCATGAATAGCTCCAGAAGTTGAACCACTTGAAAAGTGAGTCTGTTTCCTCCACAATGGAAGCAAAACGGCAACGAGCGTGGCAGGCCGGGTTGCCGAAATATTCCAGCTGGAAACGGTGGAATAGGACTCCGTCCTGAATCCTCTTTGGGGAAGGGTGCGCAGCGAAAATGAAATCCGAAGTTGTCGCGGCACCTTGCAGGCCAATAAATGTATTTCTGCAGGAGCGTTCGGGATTTGCTGCCCTTTCCATGGAACGCCTGGAGATGGATTACTTTGATCCCCGCGTCGGCAGATTCCGGGTCTTCTTTAAAAGTGTGGATTAAGTCCTCCTAAAAAACTGATGCGTCTTATGGAAAGGTGCGTCTTATGGAGCGAAAAATACGGTATTTCTGCAGGAGCGGTCGGGATTTGCTGCCCTTTCCATGGAACGCCTGGAGATGGATTACTTTGATCCCCGCGTCGGCAGATTCCGGGTCTTCTTTAAAAGTGTGGATTAAGTCTTCTCCGATTCCATAAGATTTCACCCTGGTGTCCTTCAGGCTCGTCAGATTCTCAAAGAGCTGCAGCCGCAGGCACAGCTTGTGGTCCGTGAATGCTTCCCCCAAAATAAATGGGCCACAAGAGTTGTGTTTGTGTGGTTGGGGGAAACGGGACTCAGCCAGCTGCTGTTGTCAGATGCCTGTCCAGTTGCTTCTGGTTTGGGACGACCCCACAAAGGAGGGACCGCCAAAGGGTCCCTGTTCTGAACACCCGTCAACGTAAGGCCGTGGCTTCCTTTAGCCAGTGGATCCATCTCACATCTGGTCTTCCTCTTTTCCTACCGCCTTCCCCCATTTTCCCAGCTCCAACGCAGGACAACCTCCCTGCAGCCGTTCCAGCCCCAGTCCCCTTCTACAAACCGCCTTTACACGGGTTCCCCCAATCCGGATTCCCCTTCCGGGCTTGGGGTTTTGACCTCCCCAGAAATCCAGGACTTAAGGGAGGTTTTGGGGAGGGAGGGGGAGGCTGTCCCAGACATAAAACCAACCCACTCCACTCCTTTGGGAACGAACGCTTGGCAAGTTTACTCCACCCCCACTCCAACTCCCAGAATCCAGCGTGGCCAGGCGTGGGCTGGGGATGGTGGGCTTTGTAGTCCCTGTTTTTTAGAGGAAGTGGAGTAAGAAAGGAGGCTGGCTTGGGAGATCCAGAGGGGAGGGGGAAAAAAGAGGAGGGTGTTTCTTTGCTCTCGGGTGTTTAATCCCTCCTTTTCTCCAGCCTGGGCGGGTTTTCACCACCAGCCCAGCCCGGCTGGGAGGAGGAGGAGGAGGACGCCGCTTCC